AGGGGACACGGGGAATGAGAGGCATATTCGTATCCTAACTACTATGTAACTAAACTATTGTTCTACCTATCTATATCTATTTATAAACTTAGCCGTTTCTTAATTCAATAAAAGATCGCCCTTTTCCTATTACCTCCTAATCCGAGCGAGTACTCGCTCACTCGTTGCTTATCCTACGGTTTTTTTTAATCAAGTTCAACTCTACCTATGCGAAAAAACACGTCGCCGCAAGAAAAAAAGACGCGTCTCTGCACGTTTTCTGTACACAATAACTATACTTCTCGCTCGCGATCGCTCTGTTTTTCTTCTTTTCTCTCTATCCTTCTTTCCGTTCCGGCTACCCTTCTTTTCCGGTCACTCTTGTGGAATTTAACTTTGTCCGTATCCGGGGATGCTAGACACACGATAGTTCGTATTCGTCATCTTGATTCCCTCTTCTTTCCCTTCTTCGTCCTCTGAACCAGTCGGCGCAACTGTTACTGCTGCTTTGTTTACTCGCTTTTCTTCCCTTTTCTTCGTTTGGTCAGTCACGATAATTATTTTAGTTACTTTTTTTAGTGTATACAAGAGTCTCTATTTAGTAAAATTCTCAAAATTTACTATTAAAATCACATATGGATTTTTTTGTCAGTCAAGTGATGACAATCTCGCCTTGTGCAACAAATACACAATACGCACTCGCTAATTACTGCTCCTTTCTCTCTCTCGCTTTCGAATTTTCTTCTCGGCTTCCCATTTTTCACTCACTCTCACTCACTCACTCACTCACTCACACACTCTCTCTCGTTCGTACACCTCTTTCATGCAAAAATCATTCTCTCTTTCACACTTATCCTCTGTGTTCTTTTTATTTACTTTTTTACCTTAATGCGTGGACTCAAATCGAGTAATAAAGTCTGTCTCTTAAAAAATAGCTCGTACTCCGCATTTCTACTTCTTTGCCCTTGGCCTTTTTTTATTTTTTTCGTCAATTTATCTGTATCTCTCTCGTTCTCTCTGTTTTTTCTCACTCTCACTCTCGTCATCATGATGTACCAAAATAAACTAAATATATTATTTACTTCAAGTCTCAACAGTGTAAAAATCTTTCATACGTTTAGATGACGTCAATAATAGTAAATCGTTAATTATAATAATACAGCGTCATTATTGTAATATTATAATAACTACGCGACTTGTTTCCCTCCCCCCC